TTCGCCTCACCCAGCACCTTGCTTGGTGGAAATCTGCATGGCATCCCAGATCCTTGCTTTCTTCTGAACTGTAACAAATGCAAATTTATGAATCATTGGAGAACTGGCTTTGGTGAAAGTTATCATTGCAAGATGACCATTAAAGGCCAGCACAGGGCATTTCTATTATTCTCATCTACTTGGTAAAATCACATCCAGGCAATTGCTGACCCGAAACCTCAATATTCTTACTTAACAATATGCAGCAAGCCAAAGTTAAGGAAGTTGGATTTTTATATTTTATTTATCCATGGCAAAGCTGAAGCACAGGCAGCCCACCAGCTTTAACAACTACTGCCACTCAGATGCGGGTGCTGGGGTGTCAGGGATCCCTACCCAGGACCTCCAAGCTGAACTACTCAGTATCTGCTGCAATATCTGCTTCTTTTGCTAAGCCAAACGGAAACAAACTGCTCCTGCAAGCATACATATTTGCTTTCCGTTTGGAGGGGAACCTCAAAAGAATATACAATGAGAAATGAAATAATCAAGAGGGCCACAAAAGCAGGAAGAAATGAAGCTTTATCATTCTCCAGTGGTTCTGCTGTTCAAACACTACAGGAATTAAGAAAAAGAAGAGAGGGGAAGGGAGATGAGGAAGAGAAGGAGAAAGAAAAGAGAAACACAACAATGAGGAGTTCTCCATGGCAGTACCAGCAGGTGAAAGCAGGGCAGAGTAATCCTGCCTGCCCACAGGACCAAGAGCCACCAGGACAGCACTCTATGGCCAAGGGATGGCATTTCTGCAGATCTCTTAGCAGACCACAACTTCACCTTGCTTCTCCACACACGTGCTGCCAATGCACAGCACTGAAATCATACATACATTTGTATCACATTCATTCCACTATTTTTATTACACTAGACTAGAACCTTCAGCCCAGCAAATCAATAACAGGAATCTGAAGATGGTACACCTTTCTTTCCATTGGCTGTCCTAAATCCCAGTTGGTGACACTGCCACAGAACTGTGAGTGTCCACTACCAGATTGGGAGGCTTGGGAGGTGCCTATGAACATGCAACGGGCGTTGGGTTGACTGACCTGAAAATACACACGGCCCAAAGCCAGGGGGGGAGCTGGGGAGACCTTATGGTTACTTCCAAAACAAATATTCAGTGGCTCCGTGACCTTCAAGATCCCTTCCAACCCTAAATTTCATGCTTCTGTGACCTTCAAGGTCCCTTAAACCCTACATTCCATGCTTCTGTGAACTTCAAGGTCCCATCCAACCCTACATTCCATGCTTCTGTGACCAACAGGGTCGCTGCCAACCCTACATTTCATGCTACCCTGACCTTACAGGTCCCTGCCAACCCTACATTCCATGCTTCTGTGACCTTCAAGGTCCCTTAAAACCCTCCATTCCAATGTTCTGAGACCAACAAGGTCCCTTCCAACCCAACATTCCATGGTTCTCTGACCATCAAGGTCGCTTCCAACCATACATTCCATGCTTCTGTGACCTACAAGGTCCCTGAAAACCCTACATTCCACGTTCTGTGACAGGCAAGGTCCCTTCAAACCCTGAATTCCATGCATCTATGACCTTCAAGGTCCCATCTAACCCCAAATTCCATGCTTCTGTGACCTTCAAGCTCACTCCTTTCCCTACATTCCATGCTTTTGTGACCTTTAAGGTCCCTTCCTACCCCACATTCCATGGTTCTATGACCTAAAAGCTCCATTCCAACAATACATTCCATGCTACTGTGACCTTCAAGGTAGCTTCCAAACGTACATTCCATTGGTTCTGTGACCCAAAACGTAGCTTCCAACCCTACATTCCATTCTTCTGTGACCTTCAAGGTCCCTTCTAACCCTACATTCCATGCTTCTGCGACATTCAAGGTCCCTGCCAACCCTACATTCCATGGTTCTCTGACCTGCAAGGTCCCTTCCTACCCTACATTCCATGCCTCTGTGACCTTCCAAACCCTTCCAAACCTACATTCCATGCTTCTGTGACATGCAAGGTCCCTGACAATCCTACATTCCATGCATCTATAACCTTAAAGGTCCCATCCAACCCCAAATTCCATGCATCTGTGACCTTTAAGGTCCCTTCCTACCCCACATTCCATGGTTCTATGAACTAAAAGCTCCATTCCAACCCTACATTCCATGCTTCTGTGACCTTCAAGGTCCCCTCCAAATCTACATTCCATGCTTCTGAGACCTGCAAGGTCCCTGCCAACCATACATTCCATGGTTCTCTGACATTCAAAATCCCTGCCAACCCTACATTCCATGCTTCTGTGACCTTCAAAGTCCCATCCAAAACTACATTCCATGCATCTATGACCGTCAAGGTCCCATCCAACCCCAAATTCCAAGCTTCTGTGACCTTCAAGGTCCCTGCTAATCCTACATTCCATGCTTCAGTGACTTTTAAGGTCCCTTCCTACCCCACATTCCATGGTTCTATGACCTAAAAGCTTCATTCCAACCCTACATTCCATGCTACTGTGACCTTCAAGGTCCCTTCCAACCATACATTCCATCCTTCTGTGACCTACAAGGTGTCTTCCAATACTATATTCCATTCTGCTGTGACCTTCAAGGTCCCTTCCTATCCCACATTCCATGGTTCCATGACCTAAAAGCTCCATTCCAACCCTACATTCCATGCTACTGTGACCTTCAAGGTTGCTTCCAACCGCACATTCCATTGGTTCTGTGACCCAAAACGTCCCTTCCAACCCTACATTCCATGCTAATGTAACCTACAAGAGCCCTGTCAACCCTATATTCCATGCTTCTGTGACCTACATGGTCCATTTCAACCCTACATTCCATGCTTCTGAGACCTCACAGGTACCTTACAAACCTGCATTCCATGGTTCTGTGACCTTCAAGGTTCTTCCCTTCCATACATTCCATGCTTCGGAGACCTTCAAGGTTCCCTCCAACCCTACATTCCAATGTTCCGTGACTTTCAAGGTTCCATCCAATCCTACATTCCATGCTAATGTGACCTATAACATCCCTGCCAACCCTACATTTCATGCTTCGGTGACCGACAAGGTCCATTTCAACGCTACATGTCCAGGCTTCTGTTACCTACAAGGTCCCTTCCAACCCTACATTCCATGCTTCTGTGACCTTCAAGGTCAATTCCAACCTACATTCCATGCTTCTGTGACCTTCAAGGTCCCTTCCAACCCTACATTACATTGCTCGTGTGACCTTAAAGGTCTCTTCCAACAATACCTTCCATGCTTCTGCGAGAAACAAGGTCCCCTCCAACCCTACACTCCATGCTTCTGTGACTTAGAAAGTCCTTTCCAACTCAACCATTCCATGCTTCAGTGAACTACAAGGTCCCCTCCAACCCTACATTCCATGCTAATGTGACCTACAAGGTCCCTTCCAATCCCACATTCCACGCTTCTGTGACTTACAAGGTCAATTCCAACCCTACATTCCATGCTTCTGTGACCTACAACGTCCCCTCCAACCCTACATTCCATTGTTCTGTGACATAAATGATCCCTTCCAAACCTATACTCTATGCTTCTGTGACCTTGAAGGTCACTTCCAACCCTACATTCCATGCTTCTGCGACCTAGAAAGTCCTTTCCAACTCTACATTCCATGCTTCTGTGGCCTACAAGGTCAATTCCAACCCTACATTCCTTGCTTTGGTGACCTTCAAGGACCCTTCAAACCCCACACTCCATGCTTCCGTGACGTTCAAGGTCCCTTACAACCCTACATTCCATGCTTCTGTGACCTACATCGACCATTCCAACCCTACATTCCATGCTTCTGTGACCTACAAAGTCCATGACAACCCTACATTCCATGCGTCTGTGACCTACAAGGTCCCTTCCAACGATACACTGCATGCTTCTGTGACCTTTAAGGTCCCTTCCAACCCTACATTCCATGCTAATGTGACCTACAAGAGCCCTGCCAACCATACATTACAGTGCATTTGTGACCTTAAAGGTCTCTTACAACCATACTTCCATGGTTCTGTGACCAACACGGTCCCTTCCAATACTACATTCCATGCTTCTGTGACCTTCAAGGTCAACAGCCAACCCTGCATTCCATGCGTCTGTGACCTTCAAGCTCCCTTCCATCCCTACATTCCATGGTTCTCAGACCTTCAAGGACCCTTCCAATACTACATTCCATGCTTCTGTGACCTGCAAGCTCCATTCCAACCCTACATTCCATGCTTCTGTGACGTTCAAGGTCACTTCCAACCCCACATTCCGTACTTCTGTGACCTGCAAGGTAAACTGCCAAGCCTACGTTCCATGCTTCTGTGACCTACATGGCCCATTCCAAACCAACCATTCCACGCTTCTGTGACCTTCAAGGTCCCCAGGAAGCCTAAGTTCCAAGCCTCCGTGGCCCTCAAGGTCGCTTCTAATCCTACATTCCATGCTTCTGTGACCTTCAAGGTCCCTTCCAACACAACCATTCCATGCTAATGTGACCTACAGGGTCCCTTCTAATCCTACAGTCCATGCTTCTGTGACCTTCAAGGTCCCTTCCAACCCAACCATTCCATGATCCTGTGAGCTAGAAAGTCCTTTCCAACTCTACATTCCATGCTTCTGTGACCTACAAGGTCAATTCCAAGCCTACATTCCATGCTAATGGGACCTTCAGGGTCCCTTCCAATCCTACATTCCATGCTTCTGTGACCTTCAAGGTCCCTTCTAACCCTACATTCCATGCTTCTGTGACCTACATGGTCCATTCCAATCCTACATTCAATGCTTCTGAGACCTTCAAGGTGCCTTCCAACCCAACATTACATTGCTATTTTGACCTTGAAGGTCTCTTCCAACCATACTTCCATGGTTCTGTGACCAACAAGGTCACTTCCAACCCTACACTCCTTGCTTCTGTGACCAACAAGGTCACTTCCAACCCTACATTCCATGCTCCTGTGACCTAGAAAATCCTTTCCAACTCTACATTCCATTCTTCTGTGAACTGCAAAGTCCCTTTCAACTCTACATTCCATGCTTCTGTGACCTACAAGGTCAATTCCAACCCTACATTCCATGCTTCTGTGACCTACAAGGTCCATTCCAACACTACATTACATTGCTTGTGTGAATTTAAAGGTCCCTTCCAACCATACTTCCATGGTTCCGTGACCAACAAGGTCCCCTCCAACCCAACACTACATGCTTCTGTGACCTTCAAGGTCACTTCCATCTTTACATTGCATGCTTCTGCGACCAAGAAAGTTGTTTCCAATTCTACATTCCATGCTTCTGTGAACTGCAAAGTCCCTTTAACTCTACATTCCATGCTTCTGCGGCCTACAAGGTCAATTCCAACCCTACATTCCATGCTAATGTGACCTTCAAGGTTCCTTACAAACCTACATTGCATGCTTCTGTGACCTACAAGGTATCTTACAACCCTATATTCCATGCTTATGTGACCTTTAAGGTCCCCTCCAACCCTACATTCCATGCTAATGTGACCTACAAGACCCCTGCCAACCCTACATTCCATGCTTCTGAGACCTTCAAGGTCCATCCCAACCCTGCCTTCCATGCTTCTGTCACCTACAAGGTCCATCCCAACCCCACATTCCATGCTTCTGTGACCTTCAACGTCAACTGCCAACCCTACATTACATTCTTCTGTGACCTTCAAGGTCCCTTCCAACCCTGTATTCCATGCTTCTGGGACCTACAAGGTCCATTTCAACCTTACATTCCATGCTTCTGTGACCTACAAGGTCACTGCCTAGTATACAATCCATCCTCCTGTGACCTTCATGGTCCCTGCCAACCCTACACTCCATGCTTCTGTGACCTACAACGTCACTCCCTTCCCTACATTCCATGCTTCTGTGACCTACATGGTCCATTCCAACCCTAAATTCCATGCTTCTGTGACCTTCAAGGTCCCTTCCAACCCTATATTCCATGCTTCTGAGAACTTACAGGTACTTACAACAGTGCATTCCATGCTTCTGTGACCTACAACAGCCCTGCCAACCCTTTATTCCATGCCTCTGTGACATACAAGGTCCATTCCAACCACACATTCCATGCTTCTGTGACCTTCAAGGTCAACAGCCAACCCTACATTCCATGCCTCTATGACCTTCAAGGTCCCTTCCAACCCTACATTCCATGGTTCTCAGGCCTTCAAGGAACCTTCCAATACTACATTCCATGCTTCTGTGACCTAAAAGATCCATTCCAACCCCACATTCCATGGTTCTCAGACCTTCAAGGACCCATCCAACACTACATTCCATGCTTCCGTGACCTTCAAGGCCCATTTCAACCCTACATTCCATGCTTCTGTGACGTTCAAGGTCACTTCCAACTCCACGTTCCGTGCTTCTGTGACCTGCAAGGTCCCTTCCAACCCAATCATTCCATGCTTCTGTGACCTTCAAGGTCACTCCTTTCCCTACATTCCATGCATCTGTGACCTTCAAGGTAAACTGCCAAACCTACGTTCCATGCTTCTGTGATCTACACGGTCACTTCCAACCCAACCATTCCACGCTTCTGTGACCCTCAAGGTCCCCAGGAAGCCTAAGTTCCAAGCCTCCGTGGCCCTCAAGGTCCCTTCTAATCCTACAGTCCATGCTTCTGTTACCTTCAAGGTCCCTTCCAACACAACCATTCCATGCTAATGTGACCTACAGGGTCCCTTCCAAACCTACATTCCATGCTTCTGTGACCTTCAAGGTCCCTTCTAATCCTACAGTCCATGCTTCTGTGACCTTCAAGGTCCCTTCTAACCCTACATTCCATGCTTCTGTGACCTTCAAGGTCACACCCTTCCCTACATTCCATGCTTCTGTGACCTACAAGGTCCCTTCCAAGCCTACATTCCATGCTTCTGAGAACTTACAGGTACTTACAACAGTGCATTCCATGCTTCTGTGACCTACAACAGCCCTGCCAACCCTTTATTCCATGCCTCTGTGACCTACAAGGTCCATTCCAACCCCACATTCCATGCCTCTGTGACCTTCAAGGTCCCTTCCAAGCCTACATACCATGGTTCTCAGACCTTCAAGGTGCCTTCCAATACTACATTCCATGCTTCTGTGACGTTCAAGGTCACTTCCAACCTCACGTTCCGTGCTTCTGTGACCTGCAAGGTCCCTTCCAACCCATCGTTACATGATTTTGTGACCTTCATGGTCCATTCCAACCCCACATTCCATGCTTCTGTGACCGTCAAGATCCCTTCCACCCCCACATTGCATGCCTCTGTGACCTTCAAGGTAAACTGCCAAACCTACATTCCATGCTTCTGTGACCTACCTGGTCCATTCCAACTCAACCATTCCACGCTTCTGTGACCCTCAAGGTCCCCAGGAAGCCTAAGTTCCAAGCCTCCGTGGCCTTCAAGGTCTCTTCCAATCCTACAGTCCATGGTTCTGTGACCTACACGGTCACTTCCATCCCTACATTCCATGCTTCTGCGACCAAGAAAGTCGTTTCCAATTCTACATTCCATGCTTCTGTGAACTGCAAAGTCCCTTTAACTTTACATTCCATGCTTCTGCGGCCCACAAGGTCAATTCCAACCCTACATTCCATGCTAATATGACCTTCAAGGTCCCTTACAAACCTACACTGCATGCTTCTGTGACCTACAAGGTATCTTACAACCCTATATTCCATGCTTATGTGACCTTTAAGGTCCCCTCCAACCCTACATTCCATGCTAATGTGACCTACAAGACCCCTGCCAACCCTACATTCCATGCTTCTGAGACCTTCAAGGTCCATCCCAACCCTGCCTTCCATGCTTCTGTCACCTACAAGGTCCATCCCAACCCCACATTCCATGCTTCTGTGACCTTCAACGTCAACTGCCAACCCTACATTACATTCTTCTGTGACCTTCAAGGTCCCTGCCAACCCGACATTCCATGCTAATGTGACCTTACAGGTCCCTTCCAACCCGATATTCCATGCTTCTGTGACCTACAAGAGCCCTGCCAACCCGACATTCCATGCTTCTGGGACCTACAAGGTCCATTTCAACGCTACATTCCATGCTTTGGTGACCTACAAGGTCACCCCCTAGTATACATTCCATCCTTCTGGGACCTTCATGGTCCCTGCCAACCTTACACTCCATGCTTCTGTGACCTACAAGGTCCATTCCAACCCTACATTTCATGCCTCTGTGACCTTCAAGGTCCATTTCAACCCTACATTCCATGGTTGTCAGACCTTCAAGGTCCATTCCAACCCTACATTCCGGGCTTCTGTGACCTTCAAGGTCACTCCCTTCTCTACATTCCATGCATCTGTGACCTTCAAGGTCAACAGCCAAACCTACATTCCATGCTTCTGTGACCTACATGGTCCATTCCAACCCAACCATTCCACGCTTCTGTGACCTTCAAGGTCCCCAGGAAGCTTAAGTTCCAAACCTCTGTGGCCTTCAAGGTCCCTTCCAATCCTACAGTCCTTGCTTCTGTGACTTTCAAGGTCCCTTCTAACCCAATCATTCCATACTTCTGTGACCTACAAGGTCAATTCCAACCCTACATTCCATGCTACTGGGACCTTCAAGGTCCCTTCTAACCCTACATTCCATGCTTCTGTGACCTTCAAGGTCACACCCTTCCCTACATTCCATGCTTCTTTGACCTACATGGTCCATTCCAATCCTACATTCCATGCTTCTGTGGCCTTCAAGGTCCCTTCCAACCATACATTCCATTGCATTTGTGACCTTAAAGGTCTCTTCCAACCATACTTCCATGGTTCTGTGACCAACAAGGTCCCTTCAAACCCAACACTCCATGCTTCTGTGACCTTGAAGGTCACTTCCATCCCTACATTCCATTCTTCTGTGACCTAGGGAGTCCTTTCCAACTCTACATTCCATGCTTCTGTGACCTCAAAGTGCCCTGCCAACAAAACATTCCATGTTTCTGCGAACTTCAAGGTCCCTTCCAACCCTACATTCCATATTTCTGAGACTTTCAATGTCCTTTCTAAACCTAAACTCCATAGTTCTGTGACCTTCAAGGTCCCATCCTACCCTAAATTACATGTCTCTGTGACCTTCAAGATCTCTTCAAACCCAATATTCCATGTTTCTGCGACCTACAAGGTCCCTTCCAATCCTACATTCCATGCTTCTGTTACCTTTAAGGTCCCTTCCATTCCTACGTTCCATGCTTCTGTGACCTACAATGTTCCGGCCAACTTTACTTTCCATGCTTCTGTGACCTACAAGGTCACTTCCATCCCTACATTCCATGCTTCTGCGACCAAGAAAGTCGTTTCCAACTCTACATTCCATGCTTCTGTGAACTGCAAAGTCCCTTTCAACTCTTCATTCCATGCTTCTGTGACCTACATGGTCCATTCCAACCCTACATTCCATGCTTCTGTGACCTACAAGGTCCCCAGCAAGCCTAAGTTCCATGCTTCTGTGACCTTCAAGGTCCTTCCAATCCGACATTCCATGCTTCTGTGACCTTCAAGGTCTCTTACAACCCTGCATTCCATGCTTCTGTGACCTACAAGGACTCTTCCTACCCTAAATTCTAATGTTCTATGACCTTCAAGGTCAATTCCAACCCTACATTCCATGCATCTCAGACCTTCATGGTCCCTTCCAACTCTACATTCCATGCTTCTGTGACCTACAACGTCCCTTCCAATCCTATATTCCATGCTTCTGGGACCTACAAAGTCCATTCCAACCCTACATTCCATGCTTCTGTGACCTTTAAGGTCCTTGCCAACCCTATAATACTCACATCTGTGTCCTTCAAGGACCTTTCAGATCTACATTCCATGGTTCTGTGACGTCCAAGGTCCCTCCCAACACTGCATTCCATGCTTCTCTGACCTCAAAGAGCTCTGCTAATCCGACATTCCATGCTTCTATGACTTGCAAGGTCCCTTCCAACCCAGCATTCCATGCTTCTGTGAACTTCAAGGTCCCTTCCAACCCTACATTCCATACTTCTGAGACCTTCAAAGTCCCTTCAAAACCTATACTCTATAGCTCTGTGACCTTCAAGGACCCTGTCAACCCTATACTCCTCGTATTTGATACCTTAACGTCCCTTTCAGATCTACATTCCACGGTTCTGTGACGGACAAGGTCCCTCCCAACACTGCATTCCATGCTTCTGTGACCTTCAAGATCACTTCCAATCCTACATTCCATGCTTCTGTGACCTTAAAGTTCCCTTCAACCCCACATTCCATGCTTCTATGAGTTTATAGGTACCTGCCAACCCTACATTCCATGCTTCTGAGACCTTCAAGGACCCTTCCTACGCTAAATTCCAATGTTCTGTGACCTTCAAGGTCCCTTCGAACCCTACATTCCATGATTCTCTGACCTTCACGGTCAACTTCAAACCTACATTCCATAATTCTGTGACCTTAAAGTTCCCTTCAACCCCACATTCCATGCTTCTGTGACCTTACAGGTACCTTCCAACCCTACATTCCATGCTTCTGGGACCTACAAGGTCCCTTACAAGCCTACATTCCATGCTTCTGAAACATTCGATGTCCCTTCAAAACCTAAACTCCATAGTTCTGTGACCTTCAAGGTCCCATCGTACCCTACATTCCATGTCTCTGTGACCTTCAAGATCTCTTCCAACCCTACATTTCATGCTTCTGTGACCTTCAAGGTCCCTCCCAACACTACATTCCTTGCTTCTGGGACCTACAAGAGCCCTGCCAATCCGACATTCCATCCTTCTGTGAACTTCAAGGTCTCTTCCAACCCTACATTCCATACTTCTGAGACCTTAAAGGTCCCTTCTTACCCCACATTCCATGCTTCTGCGACCAGAAGGTCCATGCCAACCCTACATTCAATGGTTCTGTGACCTACAAGGTCCCTTACAACCCTACATTCCATTCTTCTGTGTCCTAAAAGACCCCTTCCTACCCTACTTTCCATGCTTATATCACCTACAAGGTCCCTTCCAACCCTACATTGCATTGGTTCTGTGACCTTAAAGGTCTCTTCCAATCATACTTCCATGGTTCTGTGACCAACAAGGTCCCCTCCAAGCCTACACTTCATGCTTCTGTGACCTTCAAGGTCACTTCCAACCCTATATTCCATGCTTCTGTGACCTTCAAGGTCACTCCCTTACCTACATTCCATGCTTCTGTGACCTACAAGGTCCTGCCAACCCTATATTCCATGCTAATGGGACCTACAAGGACTCTTCCTACCCTAAATTCCAATGTTCTATGACCTTTCAGATCTACATTCCATGGTTCTGTGACCTTCAAGGTCCCTCCCAACACTGCATTCCATGCTTCTGTGACCTCAAAGTTCCCTGCCAACAAAACATTCCATGTTTCTGTGACCTTCAACGTCCATTCCAACCCTACATTCCATACTTCTGAGACCTTCAACGTCCCTTCAAAACCTAAACTCCATAGTTCTGTGACCTTCAAGGTCCCATCCAACCCTACATTCCAGGCTTCTGTGACCTACAAGGTCCCTGCCAACCCTACATTCCATGCTTCTGTGACCTTCAAGGTCAATTCCAACCCTACTTTCCATGCTTCTGTGACATTCAAGGTCACCTCCAACCCTACATTCCATGGTTCTCTGACCTTCAAGGTCCCTTCCATTCCTACATTCCATGCTTCTGTGACCTACAAGGTTCCGGCCAACTTTACTTTCTATGCTTCTGTGACCTACAAGGTCAATTCCAACCCTACATTCCATGCTTCTGTGACCTTCAAGGTTCCTGCCAACCCTACATTCCATGCTTCTGTGACCTTCAAGGTCCCTTCCAACCCTGCATTCCATGCTAATGTGACCTTCAAGGACGCTTCGTACCCTGAATTCCAATGTTCTATGACCTTCAAGGTCCCTTCCAATCCTACATCACATTCTTCTGTGACCTACAAGGTCCCTTCAACCCTACATTCCAAGGTTCTGTGACCTTCAAGGTCCCTTCCAACCCTACATTCCATGCTTCTGTGACCTTCAAGGTCCCTGCCAATGCATCCATTCTATCATTCTATAGCACTATAGTTCTAGCACACAACCAACTATGCAGTTGCCATTTCTAGAGCTGGTAGACAAGTGCAAGGAGTGTCTTAGAAGAGAATACATCGCAGAATTCATTTTAAAAATCTTCATCTATGGATGAATTAGGCAGGAACAGTGCATGGGTTGCTGCTTACTGAGCTACGTCTGCTCCCAGCAGGAGCACAACGCGTAGTTCCCTGCAGAAACAATCTTTATTTTCCCATGAATGAGACACCGGGGCGTTGCATCCAGCGCTGAACTCCCTAGTTAAGGGACAGTCTTTGACCGAGTCACCTTGCATTTCAGCAAGCCCTCATCCTGCCACCAAATAGCCTATATTTACACCCCGGCTATATATACACACCTCCCCAGGCAGCACGTCCATGGCGCAGAAGGGGATGTGCTAACCTGCTGCCTGCAGACAGGAAGCCCCTTGCAGGAGCTTCTGGTCTCCTTCATTGTGCTGCCGCTATTTCCATCACAGCAGAGGAAAGGCAGCACATGGGGGAAGCATCTTCTGGACAAGGATAAACCTTCAATGTGGCAGGAAATATTTTGCTAGACATGGGCTGACGACAACCTCCATCGGTTGCTCTGATCAAGCTCCTCTGCCAGCAGGAATGCGTGCCCGTCCTTCTGCTTCTTGGACAGAAATCCTTCTTTTTCCCTGTATTTTATCAAAAATTATTTCACAGAGAATGGGGAAGGGGATTAAGATGTGGAAGTGTCCAAGAAATCTGCTTGGCCAAAGCTTTTGTTTGGGATCTTTATAAACTTGGATTTTTTTTTGTTGTTGTTGTTCTCCTTCTTTCAACAGCTTTTTAAACTTCATGCTGCTTCGCAAATGACTTTGGGAAAATACTCAGCAGAATTCAAGGCAGTGCTAGAAAAGACCTCTCGGGTTTCTAATGAATCCTCTGGGAAAACAGAGGAGATGTAACACCATTTAGAAGTTAAAGTTTGGGCAGGATTCTGGGGGCAGGGAGTAGTGTTATGGTATGTAGAAAGGACTGGGAAAGAACAAAACCTTTCAGGCTTTCCTTAGCTGCTACAGAGCTGCATGGAAACAAACCTTTTTGAAAGGAAAGTCAGCTAGAAGCCTGAGCAAAGCCTGGGCTGCTCTCTGCTGGGATTGAGCCAGAGTTCAATATGGCCATGTCTGAGAGCCTCAGATGTCCACAGCATTGCTCTTTACAATCCAGTCCCCATACAAAAACCAGCAAATTCCCTGGAAGACCAATTCTCAGGTCTAGAATTACCGGTGAGCTCTGAAAAATATAATAAATATCAGGAATTCTGTCCCTGTCCTGCAAGCACCACTGTCTCATCCTCTCTGTTCATGCCCAGGCAGCTGGCTGCAGTGTCCACAGCCCCTGCTCAGGAGATGCTGCATATTTTCCCTGTTTTTCTCTACATGTTTTTCCTTTCCACTCCTTCCTCTCACCAGAGCTTTAGTTGCCACTTGCTTACTGCCAGGCTCTTTTCTGCATCCCACCACAGCTCCTCCAAACCCCACCGATTCCCACTGGTAAGCCCAGCCTAGAGCTGCAGCTCCATCCTGTCCCAAATATAAGCTGTAAAACATCCAGAATTCCATCACTTTTCTTGTTCTTAGGGCAAAACAGCACCTGGACAACTGGGGTCTGTGAAGCAGCAGTGGTTCAGCAGTGGATGTCACTGAAGTCCCCACTGCCTCCTGCTGAGGTCGGCACAACCTTCTGCACGGGGCGGATAAAAGACAGAAGGTGGACAGGATGAGCCCCTGTAACCAACGGGCAGCAGCATCTTCCAAACAAGTGAGGACCTCCCAGCACAGGCATCACCGCTCTTCGGTGTGAGGAAAGCTGTACGGCACCAACTCTTGCACAACACTGCAAGTCCACACCTGCAGGAGCCCTGCAAAAGGGCCAAAAGGCACAAGAGGAGATGCCGGATTTCCAAGAAGAGTTGGTGTCGCTGTGGCTGCAGAGCACCTCCCACCCCTGGGCGCAGGATGGGCGCGAGACGCTGCATTTTGACGCTTGGAAAAAGCCCTTGGAATGAAGCCCCCGCTTCCTCTGCACGGAGGAGCCGTGCAGCGGTGCTGCGGTGCCCTCTAGTGCCGCACGGCGCACTGTGCCGGCGGTCACCGAGCAGCAATCCCGAGGCCAAGCTCCCTGCGCCGTTTGTTGGCTGCTCTGGTTCCCCATCGCACCGCAGCCGAGGCGTCACAGTGACTTCACCTTCCAGCTGCCAAAACGTGCAACCTTCAGGGCTGTGAGACCAGTCATCCTCAGCCCTTCCACCCCCTGAACAGGAATCCAGCCTGCCCACCCAGGGAACGGACGCACCCCACTTTCTCTCCTCCTGCCAGCATCTCGCTGTAGGTCTGAGACACAAAAGACCCTCAGAAAGCAAAAAACCCACTGGAAGATCTTCCCTTTTCAGCAGGTCTGACAGAAAGCATTGTTTTCATAACTGCTTTAGGGCTTCACAGCAGTATTGGCGCTACTGCCAGAACTGCGGTTTGTGCCCTTGCAAGGAGCCTTGAGCTGATGCACTGCACGCAGATGGCAACCTGCCTTCTGTGGTCAACCCTTGCTCTACCACCCACTGAAGGGCTACAGGCCACCATGTCTCCCCCAGCCCACTCCTTTTCCCAAGGAAACGGTCCTTGCCAGTTGGGTTCAACGCCACAGCAGAACGGATTGCAGGAAGATGAGATCTTACTGGAAATCACAGCAACGAAGGCTTTTTGCTCAGCAAGCAGGGGTGTGAGTCTCAGTGCGTTGTGACCTAAGATCAGCCATGGCTCTCTGCCAGGGGCTTTCCGCAGCGGCTGTAGCAGTTGCAGTATTGGAAAGACCCTTGGGAGATGGGAAGCTGGCTGGTGAGACTGAAACCTTCTCTGAAGGCGGTGCTGTGCCCACACGCTCAGCAGGAGCTGGGGAGGGAGGCAGGAGGAGAGAGATGCCTCCCCAGCTTGGAGCTCCCACTGAGACTCTTGTTTTTTACCCTCAGGGCAGCTCAGACATCTCTATAGACTACAGAAGAGAAACTAGCACTTGTATTCTGATTCCAAGCACACGATGGAAAGGTTCAAAAGATCAGAAAGAAAACTGAATTACATTAACATCACAGAATCGTTAAGGTTGGAAAAGACCTCCAAGATCCCCCACGTCCAACCCAACCCACCCACTGACCACGTCCCCAAATGTCACATCTCCATGGTTCTGGAACACCCCTGGGGACACAGACTCCACCACTCCCTGGGCAGCTGCGCCACTGCATCACTGCTCCCAAAGTCCAACCTGAACCCCCCTGGTGCAACACGAGGTCACCACCACTTGTCCTACTGCTGTGATTTAGGAGCAGAGGCTGACCCCCACTTCGCTCCTTGCTTTCAGGAGCTGCAGGAAGCGACGAGGTCACTCCCCTGAGCTCCTCTTCTCCAGACAGAACCATCCCAGTTCCCTCAGCTGCTTCCCATAAGACCTGTCCACCAGATCCTCCACAGCTCCACTGCCCCTCTCTGGGCACGCTTCAGGGCCCTGATGTCTTTCTTGTGATGAGAGGCCCAGCAGCGAACACAGCGCTCGGTGTGCAGGGCAGTGAGCCGCAAGGCAATAAAGATGTCAAACCAAAGGATGCCAACACTGTCTTCCACATTAATTCCCCTTGCCCTGCCACTACCTGCCCACGTGGCCAAGGGCTGCAGGCTGTACGTGCCCCCAGCACACACAGCCATGTCTGAAAGCCCTTCTGACTGCAGAACACTCATCTTCACATCTTCTTCCACTTTTTGGCAGCGCTTAGGCAAACGAGCGTCCAAATCCAACTGCAGATCCTACGAGCCAGGGGAGACAAAGAGGAGCGAGCAGGAGGGCTCTGCCTGCAGCTCCCACCAGATGGCAGAGCAGCTCCGAGCAGCGGAACACCTTCTGCAGCGCCGAAACAAAAGGCTGACGAGCATTTCTCGCTCGGTGGCGGAAAGAGCATTTGGAGGACGGTTAGTTTTTCCTATTGCTTTCTATTTTTTTTTTTTCTTTCCCTGATTCTTTTTGTTCCATATTTCTTTTCTCACCAAAAAGACACGGGTGTGCCTTGCAGCTTGCTGTTGAAATACTGCTGATAGGTTCTACCACCAAAACTCAGCTCTATGGATCAATGCCCCCATATCCAGAGTATTCTGCCCCACCCATCAAGCGGGTCAGTGAAAATAGGAGTAAAGATAGAGATATGAGGTTGAGTGTGTTCTGGAAATTAGCCCTAATTTCATGCTGTGCATGACACAGAATTTCCAAAGCAGCCTGTAAGACTCCCTGCCTCTCTGCAGTCTGGTGCTCTCATTGCTGGAGCTGCTGCAGAACACCCAGCAGAGCAGAACCTTTGTAGCAGAGTCGCACTGGAGGATGCTCGTTCTCCATCCACGAAGGGCATGGTGCTAAGGTGTGCCCAAAGAGCTGGGCCAGGAGCAACCCACGAGACCTTAAAGCACACACAGAACAAGGATTTGTGCACCTCCGTTGGAAAGAGACTGTTCTGGGGATAGGACACAGCGAGGCAAAGCCCCCCAAAGGGCAAACGATTTCCTTTCATATGCTCACACTGCATTTTCCCCAACACTCCCACACTGCATCCCAAATTGCTATCTAAAGCACCGAAAAGCAGCACGACCACCTCTCCACAATCACCTTCACATCCAGCACATGACACATCAGGATTAGAGCAGCTGCCAGAGAACATTTCACTCGTCAGTGCTGAACATGACAAATCCCCACCACTAACTGTATGGTTCCCATAGGCACACAGTGCACACCAGGGTGGCTGCATCTCCAAACCACGCCGTGTTTTACTAAAATACTGGATCAAAATAAAATACAAAGCACCAAACCAAGCATTTCACTGGGTCTTCCAGCTCGGAGCACATGGTACTGGGCACAGCTGGTGGCCCCACCAATGCAGTCCCAGTACATTGGGAAACTCCTTTTGATTCTTCCATTTTTCCAATGGTTCCCTGGGCAGAGCAGCCTCATTCTCCAGAGTCACTGGGTCATTATCAGCAGGCCCCAGTGCTTTTTCCCCTGTGACCTAAAGCCTAGAAAGATTAAGCATGTACGAGAAAACAGCTGCTTTCAGGACTGGGGCACTGGGAAATACTGAGACACAAACTGACCTCTTCGACAGCACTGCTTCCCCAGCGCTCACTGTGGTCATTTAACCACAAAAAGCAGCTGCAGGGACAGATCCAGAGAAGAATCAGGCCGAGAAAAGGAGCAAGTGCAGTGGTGCTACACACAAGGCACGTGCATGGCAGAGGAACACCTGGACCAGCACATGGTTGCTCCTGGGCAGCTCTTGGAGCCTGGTGCTTTCAGAAGCTCCTTTTTTGAGACCTGAGCCCTGTGTAGACATGGGTGACTTCTGCCCACATCAGCACCCACCTGCCACGCTGGGAGGACCTTCTCGATGTCGTTCAGATTGATGCTGTCACCATCCTCATATTTCCCTTTTCCAAGCCTATGGCAGAGAGAGAGCAAACAAAAACATGAGCAGTGAAGCCTCAGTGGAACCAACGTTAATTCTCTGTGACGGCACACAGGGATGAGCTTTCCCTGCAAAAGGCTCTCATAAAAAGGTCTCTGAAGTCATTGTGTTCGTTTCCAAAACATGGTGGGCACAAGGCCACTGACACCAAATGAAACGCTGCCTCGGCCCTGTCACCCTGCACCCCATCCACAGCACTACAGCACCCTTGGAAACAGTAGCAGGCTCTTCATATGCACCGTGCCATCATGTCAGCATTCCCACTGCAAAGAAGTTCCCTCCTTGCTGGAGGGCATCACCTCACTCATAGCTCTGGGGCTGGGAAAGCTGCACACACGTGGCACTCACCCTTCCCTGTCGATGTGGGGCAGTGGGTGTTTGGAGGTGTTCCGGAGCTTCCTGTGGAATTGGCTGAAATCTAGTTTTTCAGGCTGCAGGTCCCACGTCGCACCACTGGGGGAGGAAAACAAAGAGGGACAAAGAGAGTGAACGGTCTGCTAAGTCAATAAAACCATGCTAAGAGCACAGGAGCAAACTTGAGCCTGCAGACGAGGACAGCTGGTGCTTTGGATGCACCACCTGTGCACTGTGATGCCACAGGCCTCCAACTTCACACTGCAGTGCTGTGCTTTTTTTGTGCTGCTTGCACTGAGTCGCAGTTTTGATGCAGATGCATCATGAAGACCACATACCTCGTTACCTGTATTTGCTCTCTGTACCAGGAAGATACTGCAGCAGGGGCTGCCCCAGCCTGTGCAATGCAGATGCTCTCCCCACTCCAGCAACCTGGAGCAAGTATCAGTGAGAGCTTGACCCCTGCACAGCAGTGTGTATCACCGGACAGAAGGCACATTTCACTGCTTGACTTGTTGCTGCTTGAGCAGGGAAGCACCCTTGTTTTTTCTCATGCTGAAGCAGCAGCTCTGCTCAGCAGCTGCAGAGCAAACACACGAGCACAGCAGCAGTGAGTGAAAGAGAGAAGGCCAGGAGCAGAGCTCAGAGCTCAGCCTCGCCTGTGCAGCTCTCAGATGATTGCCAACAATCCTATCAGTGCCTTTCTGAGACGTTTGGTGGCAGGCCTCTCCTAAGCACACACCATGCTTTAAGTACATTCACAGAATCATTACGGTTGGATAAGACCCCTGAGATCCCCAAGCCCAATCCCAACCCACCATACCAATGACCACATCCCCCAGTGCCACATCTCCATGGCTCTTGGACACCTCCGGGGATGGGGAGTCCACCACCCCCCTGGGCAGCCTGTGCCACTGCATCAGGGCTCTTTCGAGAAGAAGTTTCTCCTAATATCCAACTAGAAAGTTGTTTGTCAGTGCTTCGTGCCATGGGCTATGTGAGGAGCAGCGATGGAGGCCACGTGGCAGCACACACCTGAGCACTAACAAGACGGCCCCATGCACAAATCTCTAACATCAGCTTACCTGAAGGAATCAAAGGTGTTGGCAGCCCAGATGTCAGTGCCCAGCATGTCAAGGGAGCCCTCCTTGTTGCCATTCTAGGAAGGATGGAGAGGTGGTTACACGGCGCAAGGCTCTGCTTTGCACCCAGCATTCCCCACTTCCACATCGAGAGGCCTTGCTATGACACACAGATCCCTTGCTAGCTACAAAAGTGCACTTCGAGGCAGGAAGAGGAGGTTTCAGCCTTTGGGACACAGAGCTATGGACAACACAGCGCAGACATGTGGGTTGATGTTGGCCCCATCCTCCTACCCAACATCCAATGTGGGACTGTGGACCCAAAGAAACGCAGACCCAGAGGGCAGGCTGGCATTCTGACCACAAAACTCCAGCTGGTTGATGTGGAGAGGCACTTCCAAGGTGACCTGTCCACCCAAGGTCAAGAAGGGCCACCAAGAGCCAGACGTCCAGGGCCACAGCCAGATGGCTCCTAACACCACCAATGGCTGTCACCAACAAGCACACGGACTCATTTAGTGAAGCACAAGGTGAAAAACCTCTGCATTTCATCACTGTGGTGACTGCTTCTTCAAAGAGCCATGGTGACACAGCTCCTCCTTGCTCTCCTAATGCCTCACAGTAGGACACAACCCCACACTGAAGCTCCAATTTTTTCCCAATGGAAAAGCATCCAAGCCAAAACATTGCTTCTCATCCTTCACAGCCCTTCTACAATCACCAGGCCCCACGTGTCCTCCCCACAAGCAGAGGGCTGCCCTCATCACCCTCCACAAGCAGATAACAGCAAAGAGTACAGCATGTTGGGTTTTGTCAGGGCCAGTCACGGAATCAGACTCGACTCAGACTCACGTGGGATGGATATGCTATTTCCTATTCACAACACACTTACTTATTACCAATACTTCCCAGCAAACAGGTTTGTCTCCTCGTAGACACAACACTCTTGCAACACAGGCACAACCACTTCTGTACTTACACCACCACACGAAGCTTTCCTGAGGAACTGCCGTTTTCCAGTAACACAGAAAATAATGAAAAAATAATTTAAGAAAAGACAATTTCTACATGAAGTTCCAGACTTCAAGGTCTTTCTCAAGACCAAAGATCTTTGGTCTTTATTCCTTCTTTGGTTAAAGGCATCTTTAAGCAATTCTTCTTGCAGACATACCTATCTCTCTTTCCACTTCCGATTAGCACAGGATGCTTAAACACCTGTCAATGAACCAATTGCAATGGGATGTCCCAAGAGCTAAGCGTTTGGGCTCAGGGGATAAGGATGGGAGCATGTAAGCAATTGCCATGAAAAAGAGGCCAATCAACAACCAAGATACTAAACAGCTACAATTTCTGACAAGGTGGGAATGGGTTCCTAACAGCACACTGCAGCCAGTTTGGACCCAGCTCCCAGCAATGAGTGGAAACTGCAGGTCTGCTTCACATGCAGGTACAGGAGGTCAGAGGGGGGTGAGTGCTCAAGCAGTATCTGGGCTGCAGCTCCTGGTCCTCCCAGCCCACGTCCCCACCTCCTCTCAGGGATGCTCCAGGTACCAACCCAACTCCGTGACAATGGTGACTGGGGCCCAGGGACAACGAAATCTGTCACTGACCTCATCACTGTGGTCATTCCAAGTCCCTGCTGATGACCTGACTTGGTAACCGGGATGTGCCTCAGGTCACCAGCAGCTCCCAGCATGCTGCTGAGACTGCCATAGGTCTGAAAAAGCCAATCCTCAATTCCAGGAGAAAAAATAAATTGTGTGTATTGAAAAGAAGCAGCTCCTTGCTCCCAGTTCCCCCAGGAACGCAATTACAGAGGCGAGCAGTTTTAATATGGAGCTCCCCGCGACACAACCCTCAGCCTTAGATACTAATTTTCACAGTGAAGGGGAACTGCTGCAAATTAATTGAGCCAACAGCAATGATGACTGAGTGACGCAGTGGTGAGAGTGTCATTAATGCTCAGAGACAGCAGAGATCCAGTAAAATGAGCCCTACCCCCCAGAATGGTTCAAATGCATTTTCATAGCATCTGTCCTCCAGATCTCATAAGCACACACTCAGGTGACCAAAGCCTACACCCAGAATACACAGTGATGGGGACAGAGCATGCCACCCGCCACGTGGACTCTGCCTGTTTACTTACACATGCAACCTCAGCAAATTCCCCACAAAGTCAGCATTTAGATGCAGGCTGCCCTTTCTTTTTTTTTCCAGCGTCACACCCGTTTCTCCTGCCACTCCTCATTACCATTCCCCAGCAAATCTCTGCAAGTGCCAAATCACGCTCCTCGTGGCACGATTGCAACAACATGTCTCATCGCCATGCTTTGCACTGATAGAGAGCAGCACCAAGTGATCTCAGTGCACTGATAGAGAGCAGCACCAAGTGATCTCAGTGCTGTGCGTGGTATAAACAGAGGGATTATCCTCTGGCACGTGCTACTGGAGCACAAGTCTCCTCCTCATTCAATCCTCAGCCCCAAACCACCGCCGCACCACTGATGTTTCTTCACGCTTTCCAGGATGCTTGAGATGCAAGGATGGACCAGGACTTTGAATGCTAGCCACGGCCTTTGGGACAACCAACACTCATGCATGCAGATGGAGGTCCCTGGACTGAGTTCAGGCAGAGAAAGGCCCTAAAACCACGTCAGCAGCCAACTACCAATGTTTTTTGCAAGGCAGGAAAGCTGCCCACCTAACCCTGGAAAGCTGCTGGACTCAGGGTCATAACGTTCAATCTTATGTCAACCTCTGACAGAGACTCACCAAAAAAATAATTACAGGCATCTCTTAACTTCCCAGATCAGAAGTACTCCGGGATTTCAAGGGGAAAAAAAAGCAAATCTCCTTTGCACTCAACCACCCGGCTACAAGCTTCTTGCCCAACATCGAGGCACACCTTAGCAGAACCCGAGGCCGAAGGACAGCTGCATTCCTCAGCAGTCAGGCGACGGGTTGGGCACAAGCAGGGCAGAAATTTGCACACCAGCACGCGCCACAGCCCACAGGGAGGCACACACACAGCGCGCACCACTGGAGGCCTCCGAAAGACAGCAAGCACAGCACACGATGCCAGTGCCCAGCTCTCCCCACGGCTACCAGGTGTACCTTGGTGGTGCGCCTCAACTGGCTGCTCCTCCCAGACCTCGATCCAGAGCCACACCTGGAGCCTGACCCCGGCCGCGATCCTGCGCTCCCGCCGCTGCTGTGATCCCCATCTTCCTGGAACAACAAACAGCTGGCTTGAGTCAATGTGCCACCCCGCACCCAGCAGAACCGCTCAGCCGGCCCAGGAGGAGCTCTGCTGCTCCTGAGCCACGCACGCCTGCGCCTCGAGAGCCGTGCCCACGCACCACGGCCCTGTCTGCCTTTTCTTGGAGCCCTTTTATGCGCCTGGATGGAACCTTCTCCCATTGCAAAGCGACAAAAAATGACCGTAAAGATTTCACTATAGTAAACCAGTTCGTGCACAGAGAAAAACAATGCCTCCTACGGCTCCACGACAATTCGCTACATACACCCTGCATCCTCTGAAACTGCAGATATATCCTTAATTCCTGCCAACCCAAACCCCATGCCCCAAATCAACCCTTCGTTTGCTTCTTGCCCTTGCTTAGCCTGCTCCCCTTACACCTGACCATACTTGGGCTTCAGCAGCCCAACGCTCCACCCCAGTCACTCCTGTCCCTTCAGGGCTTGTCCCTGATGTCCTCCTTTCTCCTCACACTTGTTCTGCAGTCAAACACCCCACAGCTTTCTTGTTCAGTCAGCGCCCCGTGGGACAAGATGAATAAGCCGAAACCAGAACAACCAACCCAACCACCTCTATTTACCCAAACAGCATAAGGTGCTTGGGGAGAAAAGGGTTTTTTGTCAGGGTAATTGCTCCTGAAGGTTTCCCAGAGGCTCCCAAAGGGCTTCATGAGTGACCTGAGATGATTAAAAATTCCCAAATCAAAGAGTGCAGAATATTCAACTCTTATTACGCCAAAAATTTGAAAGGTGAATAATTCCAGGCAAAGCCCATGTCCTGGCTGGGTCTCCTGTGCTCCTCCACCTGCTGCTGCTTTACTCAACACAAGGGACTGGAGGGAAGGTGCTGGATTTACCAAATACGAGGTAAAACACATCTGTGCCCATTTCTGCACGGCCCCACTGCATGCTGCCCATCCTCAAAGCCAGAAAGCACAAACACCTTGTGGCTGCCCTATCCCCAAGTCAACACTGACTCCAAAAGAGGGGAAGCCAACCAGTTTTTGAGCTGTGCACAGAGCAACCATAAGAAGCTGTGGTTGTTCCCACCAGCTGTAACACCGGCGGCAGGAAGCACCTTCTTTCCTCCTCAGCACGATGCAACCCGAGCGCGCCGGTGCTTTAAATGCTCCCATCCTTTTTCCCTTGGGACCCATGTCCCCAGAACACAAGGACTCTCCCAGCCTCCTCCAACACCCTGAAGATCTGCGAGCTCTCATCCCTGGCTCTCAGCAGGCTCCAGCTACCACTCCAGGTCTACATTCACCACCAGGACAGGGAATCTCCATCCCAAATTTTGGGGTTGGAGACCAACACCTCCTTGGGAGAGAGACTGCCAGCAGCTGCTTTTATCCATGCAAATCCTCCCGGCCAAACTCTGCATCCCCTTAGGAACAGCGAGGCTATATGCGTGTCAACCCTGCCAGCCACCCTCTGAGCTGTCACATCCAACACTTACATTTTAATTAGCAATAATCATATGTTTCACTCACACTGCAATTTTCACCTTCGCGGAGCTTTGCAGTGTGAACTAATTAATCCTGCTTCCTTTGCCAGCTCGAGAGTTATTTCTTCCTGGTGCTTCGGTGCACATTGGAAAATCTCATTCGCAGAAGGGGAAAACTTTCCCTGATGAGCATGCAGTAAATGGAAATTCTGCAGTCCCCAAGCAGTTGTCCTCACTGGAAAGGTGAAGTTTGGTCTGTTGGTGAAGCCACCAATGAAGACAGCAGTGGATCCCAAAGGGGATTCATGTTACAGAACATCTCCCACGCTCAAAGCACAGCCTAAGGCAGGGCAGAAAAAGGGTCTTTTTGGGACATGGGCCTCAAGCTGCAGATCTGAGATCTGCCACCAGCATCAACCTACAACCAACGCAGCACCTACAACCAAGCTGGACGGTGTCCTACAAGTCATCCAGGATTTCAGGCCCTTCTAGACAAATTCACAAGCGTGCATTCCAATTTTTTTTTTTCCCATGGAAAAAAAAAATTTACAATAGAAATAGTTATTTTAACGTTTTAAAACATGGGGAAAATGCTTCAGCTGGGACTAATTTCCAGCTTCTTTATACTCAATGCGTAAAGCTACAACAAAAGCAGAAAATCACCCCTGTGAAAAAACACCATGAAGGAAAAAACAAAAACAACCACGCACAGAAAGAGCAAGCAGTTACAACAAGAGAGATGAAGAAACAATTCCCTCTACAAATAACTTGTGTCTTGAGGGGGAGTGTTTCTTGACTGCTCGATGCCTGAGATAAGGGCACACTTACCATAGCTCCTGCCCTTAGCTTTGCAAGTCCTCTGTAAAACAGCTGCTCAACAGCTGGTTAAAGCAGGTCATAGAGTCACAGAAACACTAAGGTTGGAGAAGACCTCCAAGACCCCCAAGTTCAACCTCAACCCATCCTCCCCATGCCCAGCAGCCACGTCCCCAGCTGCCACATCTCCAGCACCTCGCTGGGCAGCCTGTACCAAGGCATCACTGCTCTTCAGAGAAGAAATTGCTCCTAATATCCAACTGAAATTTTCCCTGGTGCAAATTGAGGCCATTATCTCTCAGACTATTGCTGCTTTCCTGGAAGCATTTCTAGTCAGCTGGAAGCACCTCCAATATAACCAGGGATATGAAAGTCACATCATGCCCTCAATCTCAAATGTCTATTTTTTATAAAACGTGTTAAGCCAGCGCATAATCAAAAACCCAGAACAGTCCTGGAGCCAAACAGACTCCAACAGGGAAGGTGACAATGTCACTTGTGCCAGGACAGGCACAGACACGGATGTTCTGGACAGCAAAGATCACCCTCGAGGAGTTCTGGCTGTAGAGTGGCACCAATCTTCAAGTTACCATGGTAAACTTCCTAAATAGAGGAATGGCCACGAGAGACAAAAGGTCCATCTGCTTTCCCTCTGCAGCAGAAGCAGAATGCACAGAATTGAGGACCAAAGGCACCGGTGACATCCAACGCACCTCCTTTTAGCACACGCACGTCCCAGACAAACACTGATGTGCCAAAACCTGGAGGGAATGGAAAGTTATGGAGAGTGTAAGGAGTATGGAGGGGATAAATCAACCCACCCTTATAAAGGGTGCTGCCAGAAGCCCCAGAGCAAGCTGAACCTACACATGAGCTGAATGGTTTAATTCCTTCCTGGGCAGCTACATGGAGATCTGCATTCACTGCACAGAGGGAGCAGCAGCAGCAGCTCCAGAAGGAATGCCACTTAGTGACCGGTTCTGCCAGAGCTGCTCCTTCATCCCCTTTGAGGGCTGGTCACCTCACCGAGAGCCTTAATTGCTTCTTCCCGAGGCAGGGCTGCACCAACCTGTATTCCCTGGCAGAGCCTCAAAGTGACTCCCTGACTTTCGCCTTCTCTTTCTCTGTTGTGAGTGAGACAAAGCAAACAGCTGTGTCTGGCTGCACCCATTTGCCCCAACAGCCCTTCAACGTGACAGTCAAGCACAACCCAAAAAACGCCATAGAAACAGAGTCAATCATCTTCACATGTTAACACCACTTCCTACGGCTGGAAGCTTATCAGACAGGGGTTTTCATGTTCAAAAGTCATTGGGAAGCATCCCAAGGGATGACATGGGTCTGCTCCAACCCCAACGCACCCCCAGCACTCGCACACCCCCATGGCTGCATGTCCCCAGATGCCCCCTGCCTGCACAACGCAGGGACACGTCGTGCAGCACTTCCCATGAGCAGCATTTTGACACCAGCACAGCACTGAGCACCTCTTGAGTCGCTGAGGATTCACGTGGACGAGCTTTGGTTTTGTGGAGGCTTGGGAGCTCCTCCTACCTTTGGCATCATCAAGGCTTGGGTTCACGGACAGCACGACCCTCACTTGGAGAAGCCCCCAAGGCACCTGGTCATGCTACGAGTCCCCATGGCATGTGGAAGGACATGGAGACGGCCATGCAGCTGCTGCCAGGCTTCTCACATCCAAGAGCTCCATGGATCTCTCCAAACACAACACACCACAAAGCCTTTTGCTCAACGAACTGCCCTCAGGAGCAGATCAGAGCTTCGGCCCCACGAGGGGAACGCAAATAGTGTACGACATAAAATCTTCCCAGCGGGTGTTTTTAGATAAAACATAAAATCTAAGCATGAGAAGATTTGAAATGCTGCCACGATCCAACCTTCCCTCGTGCATCCTGGCACAAGAAGTACCTCGTATGTACCAACAGGGTATGTCTTCACCCCACAGACCATTGGTTTCCACCCCAAAGGACCCTCTGGGGGCACTGCCCAGCGCACTGCAGGATCACCACAGGGCTCAGTGCCATGCTGTGCAGCAAACCAAAGCGTTCTCAGGACAACTACAGCTGAGCAGAATGGAACTGTGAGACTGGGCTCCCCTCAGCACACCAGGACTTCATGCAGCCCATGTCAGGAGATGCCCCATGAGCACCAAGGCCTGGGCTTTCCTCCTCCCCGCAGCCTCACTGCACAATGTGGAACGCCCAGCTGGAAAGAAAATACAGAAATCAAAGAGTTCCCCTTTCCAATAAGAAAATCTCAAACCCCTCACAAATCGCAGTGAAAAACAAAAGGTAACATCATCCCTCGGGAAACGATTAGCTGGCTTCTAGTTCCCGAGCAGGTTTGAAGAGGGAGTGATAATTCGCATGCAAGACAAAAACCTCATTAATGTTTCTTTTCTTTCCACGCTACCAATGAGAAAAATAAGCATCCAGGAAGAGTAATGCACTGAGCCCCACTCTCACCAGCAGCGATTCGGCTGTATATCCATAGCAGAAAGAAGAAGGCTGCCTGGGCAGCAGAACAATAGCGTGTAGCTCCTCTCTGGTGCCAAGGAAAATTTGTTCCTCGCTGTTAAAGGAAGCCCAACACGGAGAGAGATAATTACGAGCTCTGCTGCAGGCTGGGAGAGAGCCCAGACGTGGGGAAAGCAGAGCACAGAGCGCAGCCAGGGCATACATGGATGTTAGCTGTGCTCTAGCTTCCCCTAGGGCAGCCATTGCCAACAGTTTGTGTGTATATATATATATATATATGGCCACGGTATGAAGGGATTGTGCAGATATCTTGCTGGCCACCAGTATCTGCTGGGGGTAATCCCAGGGCAGACAGTGGTCAGCCACCCCTAGTAACCACCTAGCTGCTAAACTGATGAACTGGAGCTCACCTTCGCATACGTTCTTTGGGATTGGTAAACCTTACGTAGAAGTACGGTGCTTTTGCATAACATATCTGGCAAGATGCTCATCTCCTTTTGGTGGCTTTTGGTGGCAGAGCAGAGGGAAAAGGTGTCTCAGAATGATGGGATGGTTGGGTTGGGAGGGTCCTTAAAGACCACAGAACTGGTCTGATCCCAGAATAGCTGGGTTTGAAGGGAACCCTAAGCATCCCCAACCTTGGGGATGGGCCTTGGACAGCTGTGGAGATGGGGCACCCACACTCCTCTGGGCAGCAGTGTCAGGGCCTCACTGCCATCTAACCTAAATTTCCCCTCTTTTTAAACCATTCTTCCTTGACCCATCACTATCTGCTGATGTGAAAAGGCAGTCCCTCTCCCTCAATGTACTGGAAGGTCTCCCCAGGACTCCCTCTTCTGCAGACCCCCAGCTTCCTCAGCCTGCCCTCAGGAGACTTGCTCCAGCCCTCCAAGTATCTTGGTGCTTCCTCTGGGGCCCGCTCTGGCAGCATTCCTGTGCTGGGGGTCATGATGCAGTGCTGCACTCACTGTAGCTCCTGAAGCACACTGCTGCTCCCCCAGGCTCACTGCTCCAGACAGCGCCGCTGGATTCGAGGTGAGTCTGAAGCCCAACAGGCGCCCCTCCAGTTCCCAGCACTAAACCTGGAGGTGTTTCATCCCAGAGTTTGAGGAGACACTGATAAACTGAGGTGTGCAACCACAAAAAAAAAAAAAAAAATGTAGCCATGAAAGAGAAAAGGATGAAGATGCAACCATGTCTGAGCCACAGCATCCCAAAACACTGCTCTTGAAGAATGCAAACGTAGAACCTGCATGCTTGGTTTCCACCAAGCCCAGTGCCTTCGCTGGGTCCTCCTGAAGGAGGAACCATCCCAACGCTGAGCTTGCAGTACGGGTTCAGCATTCCCAGCTTGTAGAATAAGGGCAAAAAGCAAAGCTCTGGAGAGGAAAAACTAAATGCTCCCCTACCTGCTTGTGCTGGTGGGACGACGAGCCCTTCCCTCTGGATGGGGAGCAGCTGCCATCGAGCTGCTCACTGCAATCCGCCGTCCACTGCAAAAGGGATAGAAAGGCATTGTGTAAAATAATAGCTAGGCTGGGGAAACTGCTGCATCAGCCCGCAGCAAGCATCACCCAGCAAACAGCACCGTGACTGTGCTGGGATGTGAAGCATCCACAGCTTTCTCTCTGCAGCACCAGCTCTGTTCCAGAACAACAGGGCTCCCTCTGACCAGCAGGGATGATCCCGAAGGCACTGGCTGGGAAATGCTCTGCCCGGCAATGGTCACAAGAGGAACAACAGCAGGAAGCTGGAGATGCTGCTGCAGCCATCACCGGGCTGCATCGTTACAGAGGGTTTTAAAGATGGGGGTGGGAAAAAAAAGCTGTGCCTTTCTGTTCTTTTTGTCGTTCTCTGCTTTCAAACGACAGAGAAGGCAGAGCTGCTGACTCAGCCAATGCATTAGAGAGGTGTCTGTACCAAAACAACTCAATTTGGGGTCACTGGTCACCGCTCCACAACGAGAAGAGGAGCCACAGCATAACGCTGGAAGTAATAATAACGATAAAGTAACTTTCCCTCTGTAAAGATGAAAGGTTCTGCTTCATCCTTAAGCCATTTCGATTCCCTGCCACAAGGAAGCAGACTGCGGAGCCTCAGCAGCTCGCCCAAAGTCAGCGATTAAGTGGCAGCAGAACCCTGCAGCTAACACAGCTCTCTTGGTCTCAGTCCAGTGCTTAGCCACAAACCCATCCTTCCTCCTGCAGCCCTCGTTAAAGGGAGCCTGCTGCCTTCAGCCTGGCTGACCAAACAGCTCGCCCGTGCATGCATGCCTACTGCTTTGATAGGAGCGCTCAGGAAGGAAAACAAACGATCCCTGGTTATTTCTTACAGAAGTCTGAGGTATGATGAAGGCAGGAAAGCGAGTATCTTTTGGACACAACAGATAATTCCTTCTTAGTGTACGCACAGCTTGATAGCAGCAGATGACACATGTAAATCAGCCTCGTTTCTTGTCCTACGGACAGCCAGCAGCTGCTTTCAGGTCATGCAGAAAAGCCACAGTCCCATTGCCACACACAGCAGGACACATTTGGCTGGAACAGCAGAGGTGTGGGCACACCACCCCCTTCCCAACAGCACTCGCACCTCTTGCTCAGGTGTAATGATGCCTTTTCACTGAGCACCACATCTCACAGACCCTGTTCTTTGTTGGAAAGGGCAAACTGTTCTACCAGTCCGTGCTGTGCCTCTTCTGAACCGCGAAGCAAAACTCTGCCTGTTCATTTATTTCTAATTCAATAGTATTTCTCAACTTGACACGCTGACAACAGCCTGTTTGGCCTGAAGCCCCTCCAAAGCATCACTTCAAACACAGCCATTTCCTGGCCTCGGGTTAAACAAATGCACTGCTAAAGTGCTTGGGATCATCTGAATTTTCTAATTCACCTCTAACGACTTTGATCCTCAATTTGCAGAAGTCCTCTACTGAGCAAAACCTACTTTCAAAGGTTCATCTGATAAGCAATATCTTTATGCCAGGGTTGGGCATGGCACAGGCTACCTAGGGCAGTGGGATGTCCCCGAGATGCCAGAGCTCACAGAGTGGTTTCCCACTACTCTCAGCCATAGGGTTTGGGTGGTGCTCCGTGAGGCCAGGGTTTGGATTCAGTGATTGTCACAGATCCCTTTAAATACAGGAGTTTCTAGGATTCTATCACAGAATCACACAATCGTGGAGGTTGGAAAAGACCTCCAAGCTCCCCAAGCCCACCATGCCCATTGACCATGTCCCCAAGTGCCACATCTCCATGGTTCTTCCCCATCCCTCCAGGGTCAGGGACCCCATCACCTCCCTGGGCAGCCTATGCCAGTGCCTGACAGCTCTTTGGAGAAGTTATTCCTAATACCCAACCTGATATGCTCATCCTACACTCATCTTATGACGAGATTGCTCACGTATCTCTGCAGAACAAGCACTGCCTTGCCATGGCACTTCTCTGCCACTGGGACAGAGGGATCCTGCTGCAGAACCGTGCACCCCGTCCACTATTACACATCTACCAGCACACCAAGACACCAGGACATTCCTTCAAACGCCACCACCAGCTCAAGAGTTAAATTTCTCCTTGGGTAGGACTTAAAAAGTCAATTTTTAAAGGGACACAACCGTTGTTATCTTTGCTCCTAATGAAACCACCGAATCACACCTGCTGTAAGCCATCCCTCTGTTTCCTGGATGTAGTCTGTGGGGGAAGAGGCATTCACCCAGTCCCAAGGGACACCCAAAGGGCACCCATCGCTTCCAGGCACACATGTCCGTGCTGTACACTGCATACAGCACACTGCACTCGAAGCAGAAAGCACAGAGTGGTCAAAAACCCTCAGGGCACATCCCAAGGCCACTTGGCGATAAGCACAAAACGCAGTCAGCAGACCTTTACCAACCGTTGGCACCCTCACACGCGGCTGCCCCGAATCCAACGTTTCCTTGCATTTCTAGGCTTGAAAAGACCCTTTCGCGTGGCTCAGCCGCACGGCTCACGTCCCCACCAACCTGAGAGATGTTGGACTGCGTCTTCTCGCTCTCGCCGTCGCCCTCAGTCTTGTCGCTGAGCAGCCCCTGCACCTGGTACTCCAGCACGTAGCTGTCGATGAAGCGCTCCAGCTCCTCGATCTCCTGCGAGCGGCTGCTGCCCGCCTCCGAGGAGGCCGAGGCCACTGACGAGTTCTCCATCCTTTCAGCTGTGAGCCTGCAGAGCGAGGGGACCTGGGGGAGGAAAAGGACGGAATGTGAGAGCTGCTCCTTGGCTGCTCCCTTCTCTCTTCTCCTCCAGGCACAGCCAACAGGCGTGTCTTCCGCTTTCCCTACACCTGCTAATTAGAGAAAGCAGCCAGCTTGGGCCTTGGCTGCTATTCTCCTATGGTTTACTGCAGGTTGGACGTGTTCTGCTGTATTTCTGCATTTCCAATTCATAGTAACCGGCCTGAAGATTCACTTCTCTCCAGACATCTCCAAGAGTTCCCCCTTGCAATGATGTTTAGTAAAAAACAGGACAGGGTTGGGTAAGATGCTCCATCCCGCCAAGTGCAGCAGGACACCACAGATACCAGCACACAGGTGTTCCAGCACCCAAAAGGTCCACCTCGATTACACTCTTATACCTAAGGACCACATCAGACATTCTGTCTGTCCTCCTCGCTACAGAAATATGACAAGTTTGCCCAGAGCAGCAGGGGTGCCTCATCCCCGGGCCATGGATGGACCCTGAGCAGCCTGAGCTGCCCATGGCAGGCGGTGGGGTTTGCAGGGCTGTGAGATCCCTTGTAATGCCACCATTCCTTCTGGTGGTTCTGTGATCTCTAATGCCCCTTCCAATCCAACCCTTCTGAGTCTCTCTGATCTTTAATGCCCATTCCAACCCAACCGTTCTATGGTTCCGTGGTCTTCAAGGTCCCTTCCAACCCAATCATTCCATGGTTCCGTGATCTTTAAAATCCCTTCCAAGCCAATCGCTCTGTGATGCTATGGTGTAATGAAAAGCTTCTCCAGCAGCAAGCCAGCATGACTGCAAGCAGTCCAGCGAGGAGGTTTGGGTGTGGAGGTGAAACAGCAATCACACCAGAATATATTTTTAACACTCGTTCAAAATGGATTAGGATAAAAAAGAGGGGAAAAATCCTGCAAAACAGCAAAGAATGCATCTGTGAGGAGACCTGCAGATAGCCTGGCCAAACCTCCAGAGAGCGACAGCAGCCAAGGTCACGGAGTGCAATGCATGCAGATTTTAGAAACGCTCATACTGATGCTCAATGAAAACAAAGAACAAAGGAGGACGAGGCTGAGCAAATACAACTGGATGCACGTACCAAAATCCAAACGCCTTTCTGCTCCCAGGAGAGGACCACCACCGCCCAGCCCACGTTCAGGACGCAGATTTCATCCCCTGCCCTCCCTTGCTCTGCACATGTAGGCTGGTTGGAGATGGGTATAAAATTACCCAGCAAAATCTGAGTGAGTCACGTGCCATCCGGATGGGAAGGAGAGAAATCTGTTCCCAGCTTGTGCAATTTGCAGCTCCCGAACTATTTCTCATCTGTCACTGCTGAACAATTGCAGCTTCATTTGGAAACCGCTGAGAACGAGCAGTTCTGGCCTAAGGATTTCGTCTGCTCAAGGAATTATTCCCAAATGTGCCCAGACTGTCAAAAAGGCTCATTATGGAGATCAACATCGCACATTAGCTCCTGAGCAAAATCATGTGGCATGTTAAGAAGGAGAAAAATATAGAAGAGGAGCCCCAGAGAGAGCATGGAGCCCCAGCGGAGGGCATGCCTCTCACCCCATAGCTAATTAGTGCCAATTAGCAAATGAAAAGCGCCAGTTATTAAATGGAAAGTGCTACAGAAGAAGAGGACATCCGGGACCAGTGCTCTGGTCCCCAAGGGCCACACGAGCATGGAGAGGTCCCCACGGCCCATCAGCGTTCTGCTCGTTAGCAACAGGAGAGGCGGTGGAATGAAAGGGACTGGATTTATCTGAAGCCAGCAAACAAGCACAAGGCTTTATATCCCAACCTAGCACAGCCCCTGCTTTGGGTGGTTGGCTGTTCTTGAGGTCTCCAGGCTCTCCACAAGCTGCCAGCAGCTCCAGCCTTCTGCTTTGGGGTGTCACGGGTAAGGAAACCTCTGTGGCTGGAGCAGGTTTCCCAGTCTCTCTTGGAAGAGAAGATCTCGGAGGTCCTTCCCAACCTCACTGACTCTATGATCTCACCTCGCCCTTGTACAAACCAGAGGCTTGGAAACAAAACCCCAAACTCACACAAGAGCAACAAAAGCATTGCAAACTGAGAAGATGACTGAGAGCTTTTTGGAGAGCAGCAAACCCTTGGACTTACGCCGGTGTAGCGCTTTCACCGGGGATTCCCAACCCAGATACACTCCTGTATGATAATTAATAGGAATCAACCTCAAATCTGGATTTTTTTTCCCCCACGTTTCTCCCTTCTGCCCCCCGTTCTGCCAAAGAACAAAGCCTGCAAGCTTTTGGGGTCTAAAAACTGCCCTCCAAACCTTTTCTACAAAGCCCGTGCACTGTTCCTTATTGCTATAAAATATGAAAGTCTACAGATGCGCAAAGCGATTATTACAAGTTAGCAGTGATTAATAATAATTACACATTACAACGACGTTAATAGCTATTATTGTAAAGAGTGATCTAAACGGGGCTCTTCCCCTAGCCCTCCACTTACGCAGTTTCACCCTTAATCAGCAAACAAGCATAATAAGAACGAGGATTTTTTTGACATCCATACGTGCATCCAACAGACAGCATTCACACAACAGCACCCAAAGGTGCTCCAGGCTGAGCTCCAGGAACCAAGAGGCGAACAGAACGAATGAACCCACACGAAGCAACGGTTGGAAAACCTGCATCTCTTGGTTACGTACTCTCCATTAAACCACTCCTGTGCTCATCCTCCAGTACTAAAACGTAGCTCGATGCAGCAGCGAGCTGCTCCTAGGCAGGCTGACAGCCTCCAGACCACGACAAACCTGTCTGCCATATGGGATCCGTCAGCCCATGCCTCGCTTGGAACGGGAGCTGCTTCCCATAAAAGGAAACTGCAGTGCAAATGCTTCACGTACCGCCGCAGCCACCTCTGTGCTGCTGGGAGCTGCTTCCACAGCCCCTTTCCACCCTCCTGGGTGGCTTTTCCCTGTTTCAGTAGCACTGGATAACCACATTTCAGCACTCTGCAGAAGACCCTCCTGTCTGCCATGCAGGGTTATCTCACACCCTGAAGATGCTGTGACTGAATCCTCAAAGTAAGCAATACAGCCCCAAAATCAATGTCTCCTTCCTTCCCATCAGCTTCCTCACCTGCCCACACTTCTTTCTGGCAAGGCAGGGCACTTGGTCAAAGCCTCCACCACCTCCCTCACCCTGGGTGTCCTGCCCAAGCCATATTTCTGTTTTCATGGCTCTCTTTGGCCTTCAATTTTCGGTTTGACATCTGGCTGCATTTCGGTCAGGCAGTAAAACCTGACCTTACCTCACCTGAAGAAACCCCTTCCTTTCTGCTGTCTTTTCACAATCGTGAAGTAAACGAGCCACAGTTCAGAGAGCGGTCCCAGACAGAGATCTGCTCCACCAGGCTCCAATCCACTGGATCCCAGTAAGGCTCTCCTCCATCAGATCCCAGCATGTCTCTCCACTACTGGATCCCAGAAGGGTTTCAGTCCACTAGGTCCCAAACAGGGCTCTGGATCCCTAACAGGTCTCCACTCCATCAGACTCCAGTTGGGCTCTCCTGCATCAGGTCCCATTAGAGCTCCCCTCCAGCAGACCCCAGTAGGGCTCCACTCCATCGGACTCCAATCAGGGCTCCACTCAGACCCCAACAGGGCTTCACTCCATCACTTCACAACTGGGCTCCCCTCTGTCAGATCTGAAATAAGGCTCCCCTCTATGGGATCCAAAGAGGACTCCACACCACTGGACCCAAGCAGGGCTCCCCTCCAGTGGAGGCTCCTCTCCATCATATCCCAAAGAGAGCTTTGCTTCACTGAAACCCAACAGCTCTCCTACATCAAATCCCAGCACAGCTCCGCTCCACTGGACCCCAACAGGGCTTTCCTCCACCAGATCTGAAACAGGGCTCTGCTCCATCAGATCCCAAACACAGCTCTGCTCCATCAAAACCCAACTGGGCTCCCCTCTGTTGCATCCCAGCGTAGCTGCCCTCCATCGAACCTCACCATGGCTCCACTCATCAAACCCCAAATAGGGCTCTCCTCCATTGGGCCCAAATTGCATGGTGTGTGCAGAAGGATCCCGTTTGGGATTGGAGCTCCTGTTCATTGCCACAGCCCTGGCTCGCTTCTCACCCCCTCCTTTCAATGAGCTCCTGCAGCAGCAATATTTTCTCTTTTAACGTGGCAGAATTCCATCAACAAGTAATTAGTGATATGCCTTCCTCCAACAGTGACAGCATAGTGATGAGTAAAGAGAGCAGCTCCGATGTGCGGAGTGGCAGCAGCGGTTACCATGGAGAAGTAGGAACACTGCACCCAGGTATCACCACATCTCAGACAACCATCACGTGCAGGCTTTGGATTTGCTGCTCCAATATCCTTCAGGATGACAGCACGTAAAGCACAGCACTGCCAACGGTTCCATCTCGGAGCTGATTCTTTTCTAATTAAGCCCCGAACACCTTGCAGCGAGCGGCTGCTGCTGGATCCGGCCTTGGGCTTTTCAGAATGGCTGCAGCCACGGCTGGCTGAGCATTTGCTATATTTCATCATCTCCCTTGGTTTTTGCTACCTGGCGATGCAGAAAAGCCCCACTGACAGCTGAGACGCCCAGCAGCTGCCACGTCTCGGTGCCATCGACGTGCCCGGCATGTCACCGAGCAGCCGGGTGCCACCGTGAATCAGGATGGAGCCATTCCCATTAAAATAAACACAAACAACGAGGAAGGAGGAGGGGGAGCTCCCTGCCCTGTGGGGCTCCAAAGCGCCAGCTCTGCTCCCAGGATACGAGGCAAGAATCCCCTTCTGCTGTGCCATAGGGTCCAGGTGCCACCGTGCAACCTCTGCGGTCTGAGAACGTCCCCACACGGCTGCAGACAGGAGGGGCTCACCTCACCTGACCTCCTCGCCACCCCCACCCCAATGCCACCGACCTTGGTAGCAGCAAGACAAAGCCAGGAGAGTGCCAAGTACAAAAGGGCACAGGATCTGACCCAAACCAGCTGCCGATGC